AGACGTTTGTTTTCTAAAAAGAATGGTCTAGCACTGTGCTAACAGAACTTTCTGCCACGATGGAAATGTTCTAACATTCTATTTCTGTGCTGTACAATATGGTAACCATTAACCTCATGTGGCTATTAGTGTGACTGAAGAACTGTGTTTTAATTAAAAAAAAATTTTTTTTTAAGTAATTGCTACACCGATATGGGGCTTGAACTCACAACTCCGAGATCAACAGTCGCATGCTCTACCAACTGAACCAGCCAGGTGCCCTTGAAGAACTGTATTTTAAATTTTATTTAATATTAACTGAAACTGAAATACCCACATATGGCTAGTGGTTACTGTACTGGATAATATAACTCTAGTATTTAGACTAAAGAAATGACTTTATACTGAATAGTATGCTTTGAGATGGCTACTAGTTAATTTTATGTTATGTGAATTTTAGCTCAATTAAAAAAAGAGGGGTGCCTGGGTGGCTCAGTCATCAGGTGTCTGCCTTTGGCTCCCGTTATAATCCCTGGGTCCTGGGATAGAGACTTGCCTCCGGCTCCTTGCTTGGGCGGGAAGTCTGCTTCTCCCTCTCCCACTTCCCCTGCTTGTGTTCCCTCTCTTGCTGTCTCTCTCAATCTGTGTCAATTAAATAAATAAATAAAAATCTTAGAAAAAAGAAAAAGAAAAAATGACTTTAAAAGGATTTAAAAAATGAATTTCCCTCTTTATTGGCCACCAAGAATTTTAGCTGATTTTTTCTTCTTTTGCTAGTTGCAAAATAAAGACATTTGTTACAAAAGTTGGAACTTATGAAAAAATAGAAAAAATGAAGGAATGCTATGCAGATATAAATCCTATATATACATAATCCAGTTTCCTAGCAAGAAAAATCCTATACTGCACATTTCTGAAATGCCGGCTGTTCTGTATCCTCAGTTTTGTGATGAGGATTTAAGGCTGTCAGGGAAGCAGAGTTGGATTTCCGATTTCATTATATGTCCATAAGTAATATGATTAAAACTGAAGTGAGATATGGGAACAGTAAAGCAACTGTTTTAAGTAGAATGTCAGCCTATTTAAAAATACAAACTGATTAAGGACATTGTTGATCTTGCTATTAGAGCACCTTTTTTTTCTCTGAGTTCTTTAACTTTCAACTAATATGCATAGAGACAACTTTTCAAGCTGGATTTATATCCAATCCTTTGGGCAACACTAGCTTAAAATATACCTTGACAGGTTCTTAAATGCTTTTTTAAACAGAACTTAAGCAGTAATGGACCTGGTCTAAATTTCTAAGTGTAAAATTAAAAAAAAAACAAAAAACAAATAAATTTCTAAGTGGATTCTTGCTGGGATTCAAAGTATACAGGTGATTTAGCCAGGCACTGAGGTACTCAGTCTTATTTCCCATCAGTTCAGAGCAGAACCTACTATGAATTGTTTATATATCTCACCTAAGACTTAAAACTCTAATCTTTTTCCTACACCTTGATAAATGCTCTATTCAGTTGCAAATGCAAGGGATACATTATATTTTGAAATCAGTTGCTCAGCAGAGCTCCCTAGGGGCGGCCAGAGTGAGGACAGCTTCAAAGGCTGGACACAGTGTGACTTCTAAACTGGGTATAAATCAAAGGAATTTCCTTTCATCCCATTTTCTTTCAAACTTAGAACTACTATCATTCAATACACAAAACAGCCAGGGCTGAAAACTGGAGTGGGTAATTAGCACAAAGCTACAGTTACATAAATAAGCAGTTTACAGCTGAGGTAGAATAATACACTTCAGTAATTTCTAGCGTTAAAGATTTAAGTTGAATTTTGCATGCTATCAGTAGATGGGAAAAGGAGGTAAAGTGAAACTAACAATAAACCCTGCTTTGGAACTGCTTTATGAAGGCAGGCATTCTGATCATGAGAACCAAATGTAATGCTTGGCCTATTCTAAGTAGTTGCTGATTTAAATAAATGTTTGCTAAATGAATTAAACATTTCACAGGAACCACAAAATTCCTTAAAGGTCATCAAATCAAATTCTCTCATTTTATATGTGACCAAACAGAACCAAGCTATAGAAACATTAGCATACATGCTGTGATATTCTTCAAGCAATGGCTTTGTGGGCGTGTATCATGTGCCATGTGAGAAAGGTAAAACAGCTTCTTGGTCTGGGTTCATGTTGTGGTTTGGCTATTTAGCTTGCTGTATGACTCTGGACAAATCACTTAACCTTCCCGTTCCTCAGCTGCCTCATCTCCAAAATGGGGATAATAGTATTTCCCTCATAATGGTGTCACAAAGGTTAATATAACTAAAGCATTGAAATAGTTACAGGCATAGTAAACAATGATATCAGCTATCCAAAATTAGTAATGGTTATTTACTCCTGAATCTTTTTTTTCCCCTCTGCAGATTCCAGTTTTTCATCCACAGTATGTCCCAACACACTGATGGGAAAAATTTCAATTCTCTCCATTTGACAGAATCGGCATGCTCCTAGAAGGGAAAGATCTGCTCAGGAAGAGGGGAAATGCCCTCCACTAATGCACTTCACACTTTCATTTTAAGGCTCCTGCGTTTAGGAAGGGTTCTTTGATCTAGGAAAGGGGGCACAGGTTGTCTTTCTACCCTGGAGGCCTAGCACAGAACCTGGATAAAAACGTTTCATGAGCGAATACCCAAATGAAAGAACTAGTGGCTCAGCAAAGGTTATATGCATGGGACAGAGAAGCGGGGTGTCCTGAGGGCTGGTCCACTATTGGCTTTTTTTCCTTCCACATTCTGCAGATCTACAGTATTAACAGAAGTCTCTCACACACCAGGTTGCCCAGCTCAGTAAAATTCTGCTTTATGAGTACATAGTCATGATGAAGTAGTCTGAGGTTGGGGCCTCTAAGGTAAAGGAGTCTACGGGCAGCTGGGATCCCCATAGAAGAGCAATGCTACTTTGGGGGTCCACAGCATGGCTGTTTCCACAGTGACAGGTTGATCAAACATTTACTTCGCCTACGACAAGGATGACCTCGTATTCATAAACATTGCTTTTTATCGGATATATGCCTATTTTCTTTCTTTTTCTTTCTTTTTTTAAAGATTTTATTTACTTATTTGACTGAGAGAGAGATCACAAGTGCGCAGAGAGGCAGGCAGAGAGAGAGGGGGAAGCAGAAGCAGGCTCCCCGCCGAGCAGAGAGCCAGATGCGGCCCGACCCCAGGACCCCGAGATCATGACCCAGGACGAAGGCGGAGGCTTAACCCACTAAGCCGCCCAGGCGCCCTATGCCTATTTTCTTAAAAAGAATCTTCACTTTAGAAGTCTCCTTATGCGGGCGCCTGGGGGGCTCAGTGGGTTAACCCTCTGTCTTCCGCTCAGGCCATGATCCCAAGGTCTTGGGATCAAGCCCCGCATCAGGCTCGTTGCTCAGCGGGAAGCCTGCTTCTCCCCCTCTCTCTGCCTGCCTCTCTAGCTACTTATGATCTCTTTCTGTCAAATAAACAAAATCTTAAAGAAGAAGAAGAAGTCTTCATATGAAAAAGACGCTGAAGGAAGTACTCTGGTGCAATGGCAAATTATTACAAGCAATCGTTAAATCCCATCATCAACAATTCGTTGCACTTGAGCGGCTGGACTACCACCCAAACGAAAGCGGCTGCTAAAATCAGGTTGGGGCTCAGAAAGGGGCTGGAAAGGGGAGGGGCAAAATGCCAGCGGTTTCCAAACTAACTCCAAAGCACGCTTCCTCCCCCGTCCCCGCCGTTGGTCTCCACGGGGCGACGCCACTGGTACTGCTTCACTGCGCAGGCGCCAGCCCTCCGCCCGCATGCGCACCCAGTCCGGCACGGCCTGAGGAAATTTCATTACACTCCCTCTGCAGCAGGCTCCAGTTTCTCCTCCTATCTTCTCCATTTTACTAGTCCCTGCAGGTAGGATCCCAGGGATCTACTCCCTTCCACTAAGCTCCCGGGGGTCCCTGAGTCCTCCGCCACTTACCTCAGCGGACTTGGCACTTTCCCCTACAGCCCCGCCCCCAGGGCCAGCCAGCGCGGCCGCCTTTACAACGATGAGGACGGCGGCGTGCGCGCGCCCGGGCGGAGGGGACCCGTGCCGGCGGCTGCGTGAGGGCGCCCGCGCGCTGGTGGGCGTGGCCAGGGCGGAGAGGGTCGGAGGACGCGCTCTGAGAGAGGACTTCCGGGTTGTGCACCCACCTGGTCTTACCGCAGTTTGCCTGCAGCCCCGGAGTTCCTCTTTCGTAGCTCGACTTGGTGTCCTCGGTTTTTTGCTTGCTTTTATGATTCAGGGCTTCACCTTACCCCCTCGACATTGCAGGCCTTCCGCTTTCCTCCCTCTCTCCCCAGACTACCACGAAGCAGGGTTAAACTGGTTATTCCCTCTTCCTTCATACAGTCTCGTAGCCCAGTGCCGTGCGGGAAACGCAGGTGAAGTTTCCTTTTTTTTTTTTTTTTTTTAAGATTTTATTTATTTGACAGACAGAGATCAGAAGGAGACAGAGAGGCAGGCAGAGAGAGAGGAAGGGAAGCAAGCTCCCTGCTGAGCAGAGAGCCCGATGTGGGGCTCGATCTCAGGACGCTGGGATCATGACCCGAGCCGAAGGCAGTGGCGTAACCCACTGAGCCACCCAGGCGCCGGTGAAGTTTCCTCTTATTCCAGAGCTCTTGGTCTGAGGGCCCGTCCTAAACATTGAAGTCTCCCTTTGTGAAAGCCCTTTTTTATTTTGTGAGGTCCTGGGGGAATAGGCCACGACGGTGTAGTGTCATTACACTGTTGCTAATTATGCCCGACATCGTTCAAGTCTGTTTACGTTCTATGTTGTTATTTCTCACAATGCACGATCTCCTCTTGGTTCTGTAAGCAAATTGCCAATTAAAGGGACTCAGACTTGCTAAGGGTTGGATTGGGCCTTAGTGTATTTAGTAAGGATTGGTCAGGTTTTGGGGGGAGCTCTTAATTTTGGACTTCCAAGGCTATGTAACCTATGTAGAACGAACATTGGTTGAACTTAACCATAGCTAGTCCATAAGGAACTCCTGTTTCCTTAGTTCTTGATTCATTAAGTGGTGATTAGAAGCTTCTCAGTGAATGTTGCACATTTTTGAGTAGTGGCCTATAGAAATGGATTCCTCCTCTCAGCAATGTGTTTTGAAGAACCACGTTGGTTAAGTCACATTTCAACCGGATCTAATTTTGAGGTATATATTTCTAGCACCTCTGAAGTTACTTAGGGGTTATCCTCCAGCCCCAGGGTGAGTGTGCTAAACATTCCTAATGCTCTAAATTATTGCTGGATAAAAGGAGTGAGCCCTTTAGCAAATGGTTAGATAAACACAGAAGGTTGTATCTTCTTTGAGGTTAAAATAATAAAGAGACATCTATTCTCTCCAGTCACGGACAGACTGTATAGAGAGGGCTGACTGTCTTAATCACCTTTTCTTAGAGTGCTGAAACAGTTTACAAATTACTGTCCAGGGGTGCCCAGCTGGCTCAGTTGGTGGAGGCGGCAACTCTTGATCTGGAGATTGTGAGTTTGAGTCTGGTGTTGGTTGTAGAGATTACTTAAAAAGAAAACCTTTGAAAACAAAAATTACTGTTTAGAGTGAGCCGGGAATGGAATAATGCTGTTGTGGAAAATAAAGCAATTGATTTGAAACAGCTTGCAGATAGGGGAAATCCAGTGGAAACAGTGCTGCTTTTAGGATGTGCTGTGAACTGATGTCCCAAATACATAATGATCCATAAAATAGAGATAGAGTTTTTATTTTTGATTGAAAAAGTAAGGTGATCATTTATTTTTCAGGATTTCGTTAGGGTATTGTTTGGTGAAAGTATCATGGAAGTTCTGCGCCCACAGCTTGTAAGAATCGGCGGACGGATTTATAGAAAAAATCCCATCCAAGAACAGACCTATCAACATGAAGAAGAAGATGAAGACTTCTATCAAGGTAATCCTAGTTGCTCTTTACGCAGATTAGTACAATGTTCTCTCCCATTGTGGAAGCAGTGCTTTGTTTTGTTTCAAAGTGTTTCTATGTGAGCACTGAAATTTGAGATGTTTGACCTCTGCCTAGCTCCATTGTGTTGATGACTAAGGGGACTGGTGATTTTCACTTTGATGAAGCATTCTCATTTGCACTTCCTAAATCATGTTCATCTTTGTGCAGGGGCTTAAATGTAATAAGGGGTAATTTTAGTAAACTATTAGTGTTAACCATGAATATTCTGTGACAAAATTAAGTTCTTTCATCTGTAAAGTTGTAAAATATATATGTAAATTACTGAAGTAAGTGAAATATGTATTTTGTCCAGTACCTCAAAATGTTAACTGTTAATACTGTTATGCTGTTATTTGTCTCTTCTTTGAACTCATACAGGCAGTTCCAAATATACAACTAACATAGCTTTATTATTACAGAAGGATAATTTTAAAAAGTGAGCTTGACAGTGGAGATGGATGATGATTATTTTCAAGCCAATTAACTTGGGCTTGGGTTTAATGCGTAAATAGGGCCTTTCAGGTTCTCTGCTTCCTTTTCCTTTTGGTTTATACGTTTTTCCTTCAGGCCCCAAACTTTGGGGGTTAGTCTTCCTTCTGGTTTTCCCCATGGTTTCCCTTTGGCCTTAGGAACTTGATCTTCTTTACTTGACCCTCCTGTCTCTTTGCCTGGTGAGATGGAGTAAATTCTTCTGCTACCATTCCTGTCTCATTCACTGAAGTAATTTTGTGTCTTAATACTAAAAACTGCTTACTTGCACACTGTAAGAGGATACATTTGTTATATGTGAATTATATCTCTATAAAAAAATAGAAAAAGATCTTTATTGTGTCTTACTTTTTGGGAGAAAACAGTTAAATAGTGGTATGTATGTACTATTTTTCCAAAGTGCTAAGACTGGAACATTTAAAATAGTCATTTGTTTTTTTTTCTTTTTCTTCTGAGAGCAAGTGAGAGGACTGTCAGAGCAGTGTTGTGCAATATAAAGTGTTGGGCTGTTCTTCGTGTGTGTGTATTTTTTTAAACCTTGAGCGTGGTTGGCCAGTGGGGAGAAGACTGTTGTCCACAGAGCAGCAACTGTGAGCGAGATGTTCTGGTTTCTCTGCAGGCTTCGTGGAGTGTGCAGAGGAGCCCTGTGATGCTTATGAGGTGGTGCAGACCCAGCAAGGTTTCCGGTGTACCGTGAAGGCCCCCAGCTTGCTCTACAAGTGAGTGAGTGTCTCTGCCATCCCCGCCCCCACCAGCTTCATGGGACACACTTCCAGGAAGCTCAACAGGAACTGACTCTTTTCCAGTGCTTAATTACTAATGACCAAACAATTTAGTGTTTTATGTCCTCGAATTTCTAAGGACTGATTATGGATCAATGTCATCATTCCAAATGTATCACTAGGTCCTGTTGGTTTTGCCTCTTAAATACTTTTTGAATCTACCACTCATTCATTCTTTACTGAAAGACCAGAACCCTGCTTCATCTTTGTAAATTACTTCAAATAGCCACCTTACTAGGCTGTCCACATTGATTATTATTCTCCTCCCAAACAGTTCTTCACATTGAGGGTGCAGTGATCTTTCTAGAAGGCAAATGTGATCACTTCCTATGCTTAAATCTGTCAACATCCCTCCACTGAAGATGGAATGGTTCCATTGGAGTGATGGAATCTTGAATGTGACTTAGCCAGCCCTGCATTTTTCAGTCGTAACTCATATCACTCTTTTTCTGGTTTTGCCCTTAAGCCTGGCTAGTTTTCAGTTTGTGAAATGTGCTTTGTTCCTTCCTGCCATAGAGCTTTGTCATATGCTGTTCCGTTTGCCTTATAATCTCTCTTCCTTACATGGTTTTATTCTTCTTCCTTAGCGAACCTTGCTCACCACCATCATCCCTACCAACCACACTGACTACTATCTATATGTTTTCATAACACCCTCTACCTTTCCTTTGTACAGTTTTTCAGCCATGTGGTTTACACTTATGTGCTTACTATTGGATGTCTTCTCCACAAGATGGGAGACTTCTAGAGGGCTGTAATGTGTCTGTTCCATTAACCTCCAATGTTTGTCAAAGACTGGTATGCTTTCTCCAAGGTTGTTGTTATGAATTTGCTTGGAAACTTTTTGATCACTTTAGTCGTGGGTTGCTTGCTTGTGTGATTGCCCACATTCTGTCTCATGGTTTAGCTTATCGTCTGCCTTCAGCTCAGGTTTTGACCTCCAGGCCCTGGGGTCAAGCCCCAAGTCTTTCTCTCCTTCTCCCTGTGATCATGCTCTCTCTCTGTATCTCTCTGTCTCAAATGAATACATAAAATCTTTTTTTGAAAAATATTTTATCCTTTTAAATGATATTTTATTTATTTATTTATTTGTCAGAGATCACAAGTAGGCAGAGAGGCAGTCGGGTGGGGGGGGGGGAAGCAGGCTCCCTGCTGAGCAGAGAGCCTGACTCGTGGCTCAATTCCAGGACCCTGAGATCATGACCTGAGCCGAAGGCAGAGGCTTAACCCACTGAGCCACCCAGGTGCCCCAGTAAATAAAATCTTGAAAAAAACAGATAAACATAGCTTATGTGGCTAACTGGCTTCTTTTGGGTTTACATCTCTGGAGACAGACTGGTTTAGGAAGCGTGTAAATTGTTTTTCTGTGTTGTATCAGGTGACTCAGGTCTGTTCAAGCTCCTCTGTTAAAGGAGATCTACAAATATGGAGTCATATACCTTTAAGCTCCACGAAGCAAATAATTTTATTTTCACCAATCTTGAAAATATTCTGCAACACCTATTGAGGATGAAATTCTTCTGTGGGAATGTGGCCAAATGGGAAACCAGATGCTAACTCTGACAGCTCATTTTCCTTTAAGGTTCCAGTGACATTTTCTTCTAAGAAATAAGATTTTAGAAAGTCACCGTTTAGTTTCTGGATGAAATCAGTGTAACCGTTTTCCTCACTGCGTATAATTGCTACCACTGAGGTGTGTAAAAATTCCTTAGATGTCTGATTCCAACTTGACCATCTTCTGAATTCTATATATTCTAAGTATCATTGTATTCTGGATGACTTGCTTGTTAGATTAGTATTGATTCTGCTTAATTATAATTAATACACTGAATTTACTAGGACAGTTTCTTTCTTATTAATCATTTCTGTAAGTTCATTTGGATCTAGGAAGAAATTACTTGACCAAACTAATTTATAATCAAATCCTAATTGTTGTAACTCTTATCCATGGACTAGATGTAACTCATTAGTTCTCAACGTCAGGTGCACATTAGAAGTACCTGGGTAACTTTCAAAATTCCCTATACTTACGTGCACCCTAGGCCAATTAAATCAGAATCTCTGGGAGCTGGACTCAGGTCCAGCATCATCATCATCATTATTTTTTTAAAGATTTTATTTATTTATTTGACACAGAGAGGGAGAGATCACAAGTAGGCAGAGAGGCAGGCAGAAGGAAGCAGGCTCCCTGCCGAGCAGAGAGCAAGATGCAGGGCTTGATCCTAGGACCCCGAGATCATGACCTGAGAGATCATGACCTGAGCCGAAGGCAGATGCTTAACACACTGAGCCACCCAGGAGCCCAGGCATCATTATTTTTTTAATCACCCCAAGGTGATTCCAGTGTAGCTAAGATTGAGAACTACTTGATCAGGTAGGAATTTCTACTTAAATCTTTAATAAAAGAGTCACCTTTTCATGTGTATCTCCTATTACTGTAGTGAATATTTTAGACGCTGGCTATACTCTTAATTGGAAGGATGCCATTATGGGCTTAATGAGGATAGTATGGACTGTACTGAGCTACGTGCCAATCACCGGGAAGCCCTTTTATACGTGATCACCTTTAATCCTTACAACATTATTATACTTTGGTGTTATTCACTCCATTTTTGTAAGTGAAGAAATAGACTTAGAGTGGTTAGATGACTTGCCCAAAACTTGAGTCTAAACTTCTGTAACCTCAACCACTTCCTTTCTAAGATGCCTAGACTATTAATAACACCTTAAGCCAGCTACTTGTGTGTATGTGTGTGTTTTTAAAGATCTTATTTTTAGGAGCACCTGGGTAGCTCAGTGGGTTAAAACCTCTGCCTCAGGCTCAGGTCATGATCCCAGCGTTCTGGGATCAAGCCCCGCATCAGGCTCTCTGCTCAGCATGGAGCCTGCTTCCCCCCACCCCACTGCCCGCCTCTCTGCCTACTTGTGATCTCTGTCTATCAAATAAATAAATAAAATCTTTAAAAAAAAAATAAAGATCTTATTTTTAAGAAACTCCACACACCAGCTTGGGGCTTGAGTTTACAACCCCCAGATCAAGAGTCTCAGTCTCTGTGGACTGAGGGAGCTGGGTGCCCCAAGCCCGCTGCTTTTTGTAAGGGGCCTCTCTACTAGCCACATGCTAACCAACAGTAGCCTGGGTGAAAGTACCCCTTATTGATAAGGCCTGGAAAGACAAGAGCCTGACAAAATGGGTGCCATAGAATCTGTAGTCCAAGCCCAACACAGAGAAAAACTGGAGGGGAATTGTTGTGTTTCAGTCCTCTTCTAAACATCCTATTTTTGTTTTTGTGTTTTCAAACTGGCTACTACAGTAGATCTTAATAGAAAGAATTGGACTGGTTATTCCAGGTAAAACAAATGCACAGTTTTAGACCTAGCCACCCATGTAGTTGGGCACTGTAATTGAAATCATAGAAGCTGAAATACTGTTGATAGTGGGGGAGTTTTATTCTCTTTATAGTCCTGTCTTTGAGTCTTTAGTGCTTTATGGACTCAAACTTTTCTCCTGGGATCCAGTAGTCTCATTTACTGTAGCACATCTTATTACTGTGGGTTCCAGAAGATAACCTTGGATTTTAGAATTATTTATTCTAGGAGGGCCAGGCAGTTAATGTAAATGAGTCACTAGATGGTTGATGCGGAGTAGATGAAAGGCAGTAGGGAGTGATGGGGATTGCGATGAGCTCATGTTCGATTTTTAGGGACAAGAGCTTACTCCAGCCAATTATTGCCATGAGTTGTCAGATCTTCTGATTTTTCCAAAGAACCTGGAAATCTACATTTTTGGGTGAAATTTCCCAATGTTCTGGTGAAATCTCCTGAACAAAATGTGTATGTGCTGAATGCAGCTTGAGGGTTACCTGTTTACTCTTGTTGCTTTCAAAGCTATTCTGAATAGTCTGTCCTAAATGGTGGACCTTTCTCTTTGCTAAGCTCTTTGTCCTTAGTTTATTAATCAGGGATAATTCTTTTAGGATGAACTCCTACTATAGTTAATTTGCTCCCCAAAGGACAATGTTTTCCCCAAACTGTAGACCAACTGGTTGCTGGAAGTGCCTTTTGAGATGATGCCAGCTTTCTTTTCAATGAACAGCAGACCCAGATTTTGAATCTAATATTGAAGACCAAGCAGGTGTTGGGCATGTCCTGGTTATTTCTGTTTATTCATTAAATTGACTGTAGGGCGTCATTTTGCCAATGAGTACAATGCAACACATTCTATAAAGCTATATGACTTGTAATTTCCTCTACAAATATTGAGCCTTTACTGAAGCACTTTTCTTTAAGGGAGTGACCACATATGATTTAAACATGATATTTAAATAATTTCATTTAACCATTTTAATCATTTCATTTTAACCATGAAATGATTTAAACATGGAATTCTTTATTCTGGTACATTTGACTTAATATTCTTCCGTTAATTTTTCTCTATATTACAGGCATATAGTCGGGAAAAGAGGGGACACTAGGAAGAAACTAGAAGTGGAAACCAAAACTTCTATTAGCATTCCTAAGCCTGGACAAGAAGGAGAAATTGGTGAGACTCGGAATATATGTTATATTTCGTTACATTTGCAATCACTTTTGCATGAGTATGGAATAGTGTGACCCAATGGAGGTATTTAGTGGTTGTATTCTTTCTTTCTTTCTTTCAAGCATTCCTGGGTAGGATTGAATAGTGCCTATATTCTTTTTGGGGTTCTGTAGCAATTGGCCTTTTTATACCAGCGTCAATCTCCTAAATGAAAAAAGATGTAGTTATACAATCTTATCTTGAAATTGAGTATCTGGGCCTTCACTGTGTACTTTATTGTGTACTGATGTTATAAAGCTTCCAGATTTTGTTGTGTATTAGGAGAATAATTTTATGCTTTACTAGCTTGAAATGGAGTTTGTGAATTGTTTCAAGTTAGAATTAGGGAAAACCAGCAAGGTCAACAAATTTGCGATAAAATTCAGCCCTTTCCAGAAGGGTTCTCTTGTTTTTACCTGCTTTGTAGACTGGGAAGGATATTATAAAAGTAACGATTAAAATAACAACCTGATGAGTGCTGTGAAATGTGTTAGCCTGGTGATTCACAGACCTGTCCCCCTGGGGCAAATAATACGTTATATGTTAAAATAAATAAATAAATAAATAAATAAATAAAATACTAAAAACAAATAAATCAACCTGAATCAAGTAACTGCTCAAGTGAGGAAAAATAGTTCAATATAAATCAAGTCAGAAAGTGTGTGTACCAAGCACCACTGTGGATCAAGGGCACAGGCTTGTGTTGTAAAAGGGCTGTGAGTGAAGGGCACTGTAGGGACAAAATTTGAGGAAACTCATTCTAAAATGATAGGACTTTTTCAAAAGTCAAGTAAGTACAGCAGCCTCCAGTAATACATTTATTATAAATACCGATAGGTTTTATTAAGTTTTAGGGTAAGAAAAATTACAAGTGTTCTCATTTTGTGCTGTGTAAGAATCATAACAGATACAATGCAGTTGAGTGTAGACCAGTGCTGTCCAAAAGGACTTTCTGTGATGACGGGAATGTTCTCTACCTCCACTGTCTAGTACGGACGTCACTAGCACGTGTGATTGTGAGTACTGGAAATATGGCTAGTGTGACTGGGGAATTGAACTTTTAATTCCATTTCTTTCTAATTCATGTAACTTTTCATTTAACTGGTTGCATGTGGACTCTTGTGTTGGACAGCAAATGCTAGAGTTTTCCCCAGCCCTTTAGTAATATTAGCAGACACTAATGTAAGAACTTCAATGACATTTTTGAAGGACTTTTTTTTTTTTTAAAGATTTTATTTATTTATTTGACAGAGAGAGATCACAAGTAGGCAGAGAGGCAGGCGGGGCGGGGGGAAGCAGGCTCCCTGCTGAGCAGAGAGCCTGATGCGGGACTCGATCCCAGGACCCCGAGATCATGACCTGAGCCGAAGGTAGTGGCTTAACCCACTGAGCCACCCAGGCGTCCCTTGAAGGACTTTCATTAAAATATTTAGCTCTTTAGAATTACAGATAGAAAAACCCAAGTCTTTCCTTAAGTTTTAAAGTTCAAGCTACCATGGTGCCTGGGTGGCTCAGATGGTTAAATGTCTGCCTTTGGCTCAGGTCATGATCTCAGGGTACTGGGATCGTGCTCCATATCAGGCTCCCTGATCAGCAGGGAGTCTGCTTCTCCCTCTCCTTCTCCCTCTGCCTCTCCCTGCTGCTTGTGTGTTTTTCTCTCAAATGAATAAATAAAATCTAAAAAAAAAAAAAGTTCAAGCTACAAGTATTGATGTAATTTTATAATTGCAGTAAAGCTTATTTCATCATCTAGTTCTTTTTTCTGATTGTAAATTAATACATGCTTTCAAAAAAACCCCAAAGTTTTTACAGAAATTATATGTAAGATATAAAGGGGAGTCTTGTAATACGAACTTCAGACATAATCACTATTAATAGTTAAATAGAGTCTTCCTTTTTTGTATCCATAGAGTAACTATAATAATTTTTATTGCAGTAAAAATTATAACATGCTATAAATGTGGAGATTTTAGCCATTTTAAGATGCCAGAGTCATTCCAAAACCTTTCCAAAAAAGGGTAGGCAGGTTGTAAAGATTCCATTTTGACTTAGAAAGTACAAATATTTCAATGTGAAACCCAGTGTGTCTAATCATTAAAAGTAAGAATATAGTGGAGCTAATTTAATTGAAAAACAAGAGGATAAATGGGCCTATTGGTCTTTTAGGGAGGTAAAATATAGAAAAATCAAATTTGTTGTTTAGAGTGAATTGAGTTGTAATGTGAGACTAAGGCAGGTTGTGGCATTTGTTGCCATTTATTCATTTTCTTTTGCCTCTCCCAAATTAAAAAGCTAATAAGGAAAGAAATGATGTAGTAGGTTTTAATTTGTCCTCTCAACAAGGATCTGGTTATCTAGTCTGTTTTGAAGTCTAACAAAATGATATTGTTATTGTAGTTAGAGAATTGGTTTTTAGAAGTTTAATGTTAATGCCTTTAATTCTCTTTTTCCTATCTATCTCTTGTTATAGTCCCTAGACCCTTGCCTTGCAAATTCTGGTCTTCTCAGGCGTTAGTGTTTGTAGAATATTTCTTTTCTTTTCTTTTTTTTTTTTTTTTTTAAGATTTTATTTATTTATTTGACAGACAGAGATCACAAGTAGGCAGAGGAAGAGGCAGAGAGAGAGAGGGGATAGCACTCCCCGCTGAGCAGAGAGCCTGATGTGGGGCTTGATCCCAGGACCCTGGGATCACAACCCAAGCGGAAGGCAGAGGCTTTAACCCACTGAGCCACCCAGGCGCCCCTTGTAGAATATTTCTAACCTCATTTTATTTGCTCATTAGTCATTAACTGATCAACTTTGAATCTTTTCTGGAAATCAGACTGAGCACCTTTCAGTGAGTGCCCTTTTCAGTTTACTATGTTACAAAGATGAAACCAACCTCTTAATGAAAAAGAATAGATTCAGCATTTTGTACCAGACTTCTACAGAAATAAAACATAAACATAAGTTTTAAGCTTCCTTCCCTTCTGCTCCTTTTCCTTTTAGTTTCTGAGCAAATTTTTGGTCTTTGGCAGAGATAATTTTTTTTTTAAAGATTTTATTTATTTATTTGACAGACAGAGATCACAAGTAGGCAGAGAGAGAGGAGGAAGCAGGCTCCCCGCTGAGCAGAGAGCCTGATGTGGGGCCCGATCCCAGGACCCTAGGATCATGACCCAAGCTGAAGGCAGAGGCTTCAACCCACTGAGCCACCCAGGCGCCCTGGCAGAGATAATTTTTACTTTCCTTTAATTTTGTCCCAGTTTGCCTTTGAGCACTCCTTTATCAGTATTTCTTTTTCTTTTTCTTTTTTTAAGATTTTATTTATTTATTTGACAGAGATCACAAGTAGGCAGAGGCAGGCAGAGAGAGAGAGAGGAGGAAGCAGGCTCCCTGCTGAGCAGAGAGCCCGATGCGGGGCTCGATCCCAGGACCCTGAGATCATGACCTGAGCTGAAGGCAGAGGCTTTAACCCACTGAGCCACCCAGGCGTCCCTTTATCATATTTCTTTAGCACAGTATTTGAGTACCTGTTACGGATACTTCCCTTCACTGAGCATTGAGTCTTGGATTCTCCAAGTATTCTGCCGGATAATATAAATGATGCCATTAGAAAACACCATATGTCACAGACCTGTACCTCTGGGGCCAATAATACATTATATGTTAATAAAAAATTAAAAATTATAAAAATAATAATAATGAAAAAAATATGTCTACTTACATTTTTTGGCTATTACTCCTATAGATTTTTGACTTAGGCAAATGGTTCTCAGGCTTTTGTTCATTCATTCATTAATTCTTTCATTCAGAATCTACTTTCACTCAGAATCTAGGAATGTCTATCTTGTTTCCTTGTAGCAAAATAGGTATGATATTTTCATTCTTTTTTAAAAATTTTTTAACTTTTTTATAAACATATAATGTATTATTAGCCCCAAGGTACAGGTCTGTGAATTGCCAGGTTTACACACTTCACAGCACTCATCGTAGCACATACCCTCCCCAGTGTCCATGATATTTTCATTCTTATTGAGGAATAGAAAGGTTGTTCTTAGAGAAAATTTCACATCCTTTAATGGAGAGTATTAGGATAAGTAAATGGAATTATTTCTTTAACTTCTGTAGTTGCATGGAAGGACAAACTTTGTGGTCTTTAAAGCACAGAACCCATTTTGCTACTATTAGAGTTAACATTTCAATATTTTATATCATATTTATAAGTCTGACTTTAACAGTTTTAATAAATAGTCTATTGAAATGCCAGTTTTGTTCATTGCTCATATCTTTTGCACCTTTCCTTAGTTGTTCTTTTGAACCAAGCCCTATTGGTTCTACAGCCTGAGATTTAATCTCTGCTTACACTGAGATTGTGTAGTCCCCAAATGCTTTTTTTTCTTTGCAGACAGTGGGCTATGCTTTGTGCTGCACCCCCCTTTTCATTTATACACAAAAACATAGCCCAGATTAGAGAAGGCCAAATTAATACCAAAACAGGGACATTTGGTATCCATCCATATAATGTATAGATAAGGATTTTACTTTAATTTTCTGTTTTCATATATATATGAGAGGATTATATATATTATAATAGATCTCTTTGGTTTCTCACTGTAGTGAATCTCTAATAATTGCTGCCATAGTATTTTTTTAAATTGAGATAAAATTGACATGACAAAGTTCCATTTTCTGCTCTTAACTTGTTATTGTTATTTGAATTTCTTCTTTTTTTTTTAAAGATTTGATTTATTTATCTGACAGAAAGAGACACAGCGAGAGAGGGAACACAAGCAGGGGGAGAGGGAGAAGCAGGCTTCCTGCCGAGCAGGGAGCACGATATGGGGCTCGATCCCAGGACCCTGGGATCATGACCTGAGCTGAAGGCAGATGCTTAACGACTGAGCCACCCAGGCGCCCCTGATGTACTGTTCCTACTCTTTTGGTGTGTGGTCAGAATATACACAACATAAAGTTTACTATTTTGACAATTTTTACTTTATGCGAACTCTGTATCTAACAGTGGGGCTCAAACTCATGACCTCCAGGTCAAGAGTCATATGCTGTACGAACTGAGCTAGCCTGGGATCTCCCATTTGGACCATTTTAAAATGTTGAATTGAGTGGCATTTGGTACATTTACAGTGTTGTGTAACCATCACTACTATCTGGTTTCAGAACATTTTTATCCTCCAAAAAGGGAGGATACCTCATACCCATTTAACTGTCACTCCCCACTACCTACCTCCAGTCCTTGGCTACCACTAATCAGCTTTCTGTCCCTCTCCATTTGCCTGTTGTGGCTACTTTCTGTAAATGGAAACATATACTGGCATTCTGTATCTGCTGTCTTCCACTTAGTGTAATGTGTTCAAGATTCATTAATTTTTTTTTTTTTTTTAAGATTTTATTTATTTATTTGACAGAGACAGAGATCACAAGTAGGCAGAGAGGCAGGCAGAGAGAGAGGGGGAAGCAGGCTCCCGGCCGAGCAGAGAGCCCGATGCGGGGCTCGATCCCAGGCCCCTGAGATCATGACCTGAGCCGAAGGCAGAGGCCCAACCCACTGAGCCACCCAGGCGCCCCTCATTAATATTTTTGCACGTGTCTGTACTTCATTCTCTTTTTCTGGGGGGTACTAAGTAATATTCCATTGTATGGAGATAGGACATTATGTTTATCCATTTATCAACGGGACACCTGCATTGTTTCTACCTTTTGGTATTTTGACAAGAACTGCTCTGAACATCGTGTGCAAGTTTTTTTGAACACCTGGTATTTTATTTTTTGGTTTTTTTTTTTTAATAGTTTTTCAGGATTTTTTTTTTTTTGTATTTCATGTTTTTGTTTTTTTTTTTTTTAAGATTTTATTTACTTATTTGACAGACATAGATCACAAGTAGGCAGAGAGGCACGCAGAGAGAGAGGAAGGGAAGCAGGCTCCCCGCTGAGCAGAGAGCCCGATGTGGGACTCAATCCCAGGACCCTGAGATCATGACCTGAGCCGAAGGCAGAGGCTTTAACCCACTCTGGCACCCAGGTGCCCCTCATGTTGTTTTTAAAAATCTATTCTTTTTTTTTTTCTTTAAGTAAACTCTGCCCCTAATGTGGGGCTCAGACTCATGACCCTGAGATCAAGAGTCACATGCTTTACTCACTGAGCCACCAGGCGCCCCTGAATCCTGCTTTTACTTCTTTTGGATTTCTATCTAGGAGTGGAATTCCTGGTCATAAGGTAGTTCTCTTTTTAACTTTTTAAGGAACTGCCATACTTTTCCATAGCTGCTGCACCATTTTATATTCCCACCCGCAAGGTATGGGGGTTTGCTAGGAAGCTACATAGCGTTTTTAACTCATTTTTTTATTTAAAGGTTTTTATTTATTTATTCGACAGAGAGAGACAAAGTGAGAGAGGGAACACAAGCAGGGGGAGTGGGAGAGGGAGAAGCAGGCTTCCTGCTAAGCAGGGAGCCTGATGTGGGGCTCGATCCCAGGACCCTGGGATCATGACCTGAGCCAAAGGCAGACGCTTAACGCCTGAGCCACCTAGGCACCCCTTAACTCATTTTTCTACTTCATGAGGTGTTCTTAAGGGTATTCTGGTTTTCTTGCTTGTTTTGTTTTTTAGAGGTTGGGGGGAGGAGCAGAGGGAGAGGGAGAGAGAGAATCAGCAGGCTCCACCTCCAGCAAGAACCCAACGACATGTGGGGCTTGATCTCACAATTCTGAGATCATGATGTGAACTGAAATCAAGAGTTGGACAATTTTTTTTTAAAGATTTTATTTATTTGACAGAGAGACACAGCAAGAGAGGGAACACAACACGGGGAGTGGGAGAGGGAGAAGCAGACCTCCTGCTGAGCAGGGAGCCCGATGTGGGGCTTGATCCCAGGACTCTGGGATCATGACCTGAGCAAAAGGCAGCCGCTTAACAGACTGAGCCACCCAGGCGCCCTAAGAGTTGGATAATTGACTAAGCCACCCAAACACTCTAAGGATATTGTTTTTAAACTTTATTCTGCTTAGATTGAATTCTTTAGTAATTTTCTTACTCTTGGTACTATTCTGTGTTCAGAAATTATGTACACATTCAGGACTGTTTGAGCTTTGCAGAGATGACAGAATTAAGGTCACTCATCTTACAGGCATTGGATGGTCATGTTAAACATCCCTCCCTTTTTTTTTCTTTTTTTTTCTTTTTTTTGCTTGCAGTAATCACTGGCCAGCATCGAAGTGGTGTAATTTCAGCTCGAACTCGGATTGATGTTCTTTTGCTCACTTTTAGAAGAAAGCAACCCTTCACTCATTTCCTTGCCTTTTTCCTCAATGAAGTTGAGGTTCAGGAGCGATTCCTAAAGTTCCAGGAGGAAGTACTGGAGAAGTGCTCCATGGTAAGCAGCAAACAAAACAAGAAGTTAAAACGTAAAGAAAAAGTACAAAATCTGGTGGTTCATAATTCAAACAGTAGAAAGATACACATTTCTTCTCCCACCGAAAAAGGTAACCATTTCTGTAGCTTTCTTCTGATTCTGAACTGAAAAAAAAAAAGTATTGACATATTGGCACTTAAGCCTCTATACATTATGGAAATATTCTTTAAAAATTTCAAGACATACAAGTAGTATCTCCGTATACATACTATTCTGCACCTTGCAGGTGGCAGTGTTCATGAGATGCCTTTATCTGTAGATCTGCCTTGGACGGTAATGGCTTATTTGGGGTTAGGAACTAGAAGAAATTTGCACATAAAATTGTCATTTGTTTGTGACCAGGATAACAGCAGATAATCTAGATTATAAAACAAGGTGGTTTGTTTTGTTTTTTTAAAGATTTATTTATTTGGGAGAGAGAGCACAAGAGGGGGAGAGGGAGAGGGAGAATCAGATTCTCTGATGAGTGGAGAGCCGGATGTGGGGTTTGATCCCAGGAGCCTGAGATCATATCCTGAGCTGAAGTCAGATGCCTAACTGGCTGAGCTACCCAGGTGCCCCCTAGAAAACAAGTCTGAAAACTCCTCTTGGGGATAATTTTGGGAGATTTAAAGAGACATTGATTTAAAAACATTTATGAACATAACATACATTTTTTGTTGTTTTTCTTCTTTTAATAAATGTTTTTCATAGAAAGTTTTAGAAAATAAAGAAAAGATGAATAAAAAGTCACCCCTAATCTCACCACTAAGAAATAATATTGTGGCACATGCATAGATGTTTAAAAAATAGAGTTTGGCTTATATATGCTTTTATATCCTGCTTTCTTTGAAATTTTGCATTATACCATGATCATTGTTTTGTCATTGAACAAAAATCTTTCCTTTTGCTTTGGAGACAAGAAGGGAGTTACAGCAGTGATGACTAAAATAACATAATCTTATTTCGGTGACAGTTCAGATAACTTGATTTTTAATGGCTATTTAGTATTCTAGTATATGTATGTATAGTGGTGTGTGGTTTGAAGTGATAGGGTTTGGAGTCAACAGCCAAGAAAATATTCTTGAGACATTGTGGGTGCAAAAAGGTGGTTTTATGAAAGCACGGGGACAGGACCCATGTGCAGAAAGAGCTGCCGTGGAGTCATGAGGAAAGGCTGATTTTATACTTTCAAGTTGGGAGGGGGTTAGGGATAGCATAAGTTTCTAAGGAATTTTGGGAGCAAGGTTTCTAGGACCTCAAGGGGTAGCTGTTAGAAAAAGGTCATTTATTACTGTCTAGTAAAAACCCTAGTCATGAGACCCTTTAGAAGTATATCAGTGGGCTATAAGCTTGTGGGATGATTACTAATATATATCTTGGGGGATAGAGATAAAGGAGGTTTCTAAAGGAATTTTTTTTTTAAAGATTTTATTTATTTGTCAGAGAGACAGAGAGAGTATAGGCAGGCAGAGTGGCAGGCAGAGGCAGAGGGAGAAGCAAGCTCCCCACTGAGCAAGGAGCCTTATGTGGGACTCCATCCCAGGACACTGGGATCATGACCTGAGCTGAAGGCAGCGGCTTAACCGACTGAGCCATCCAGGCATCCCTCTAAAGGAATTTTTATGTGTTAAAGTAGATTTACAAGATCCTGGGGGGTTGGGATAATGTTAAGCTAAGATTGCCTTTTGCCCTTATAAAGTATCAAATCCAGGCAGCCAAGTTCCTAAGGGAATGTCACTCTGCCTGTTTGAATGGGCTGTAAGAAGTAAGTAAGGAAATTTAATTTTTCTTTTGCCTTTGCTTCCCATATCATATAAGAATAATTAATTTTATCTTTTTAAAGTATTTGTTTTTCATTATTATAAATAATGATGTTATGACTCTTCTATGTACATTTTTCTGCACTAGTCTGGTTAGTTTCTTAGTAAATTCCTGAAATGGAAAAAGAGTATGTGTGTGTGAGTTGAGGGTTTTGATATATATTCCAAATTACCTTCAGGAAATGTTATAACACTTAACATATCAGACTATAGTTTTTTGGGGGGTTCCTTTTCCCACCCTTGCCAGTATTGGTGTTATTATTCTTTTAAGGTTTTTTATTTTCATTTTGTTTTGTTTTTATAATGCAGTTGCCAAAAAATATTAGCTCATTTTTTGATTGTCCATTTATTTGATTATTGGTAAGATAAGACTTTTTCATAGTTCAATTCTTGTTTCTTCATGTCTTGGCCCATTTTTCTGTGAAAGTGTTCATTTTTTTTTTATTTGTAAGATCTTCATGTATATTAAGAGGATCAGTATTACTTCATAATTTATTTATTTATTTATTATTATTTTTTTAAAGATTTTATTTATTTATTTGACACAGGGAGAGATCAGAAGTAGGCAGAGAGGCAGGCAGAAAGAGAGGAGGAAGCAGGCTCCCCGCCGAGCAGAGAGCCCGATGCGGGGCTCGATCCCCGGACCCCGAGATCATAACCTGAGCCGAAGGCAGCGGCTTAACCCACTGAGCCACGCAGGCGCCCCTACTTCATAATTTATATTTAACTTTTTAGTTTATTTGGAATGTGCTTTGATATATAACAAGAGGTAAGGTTGTAACTTTTTTTAGCCCCTATTTAGTTAACCAGTTATCTGCAGAAGAATTAAAGAATCTTTTATTTTACCTTAAAAATTATTGTGCAGTAAAATGGACTTTTTGGGGATGAGTTTAGTTTTTTTTAATGTTTTAAGTGATCTTAAAAATAAAGTGTGGGGCTTGAACTCATAACCCTGAGATCAGGAGTTGCATGCTGTACCAACTGAGCCAGCCCGGTGCCCCATGGGATGTGTATAGATTTTTGTAAGCAACTACTACAGTAGGATAGAGAATAGTTTGACCACCCCACAAGACTGCCTCATGCTGTCCCTCTACGGTAACCTCTACCCCACCCCAGACTGTGGCAATCACTGATCTCTTCGTGGTGACTACAGTTTTGTCTTTCTGAGAATGTCCTATGAATGGAATCGTGTAGTAGGTAACCTTTTGAAACTGGCTTCTTTTATTCAGCATCATGCCTTTGAGATTCAGCCAAGTTGTTGTGTCTATCAGTAGTGTATTCCTTTTTGTTGCTGAGTAGTAGCACCGTTTTGACGCACCTCAGTTCGTTTGCGCATCCACCCAATGGAGAACATTTGGGTTGTTTCTAGTTTGGGCCAGTTATGAATAGAATTGGTCTAAACATTTATGTATATATTTTTATGTGAACATAATTTTCCTCTTTTTTTTTTTTAAGATTTTATTTATTCATTTGACAGAGAGAAACACAGCAAGAGAGGGAACACAAGCAGGGGGAGTGGAAGAGGGAGAACAGGCTTCTTGCTGAGCAGGGAGCCCAATGTGGGGCTTGATCCCAGGACCTTGGAATCAGGACCCGAGCTGAAGGCAGCCACTTAACAGACTGAGCCACCCAGGTGCCCCATAATTTCCCCTTCTTTAAAGTAAATACTCAGGGGGCACCTGGGTGGCTCAGTCCATTAAGCGGCTACCTTCAGCTCAGGTCATGATCGAAGGGTCCTGGGAATGGGCCCCCGCATCAGGCTCCTTGCTCTGTGGGGAGCCTACTTCTCCCTCCTCCTCTGCCTGCAGCTCTTCATTTTTATGCATATGGAAGTCCATCCATGCTGTGTTTTCTCAATCATGTAATAGAGAGATAAAAACATACGGAATGAAATAGAATAGTGGTTAATATCTTTGGTTCTCAGAAACAGATGTACCTGGGTATGATTGTGGGTTCCTCAGTCTGTGTAGATTCGGGCAAGTGAACCTCTCCAGATTTTATTTATTTATTTATTTTTAGTATGCTCCACTCACAGCGTGGAGCCCAGCACGGGGCTTGAACTCAGAATCCTGAGATCGAGACCTGAGCAGAGATCAAGAGTCAGATACTTAACCAGCGGACCCACCCAGGTACCCCTCAGGCTAGGTCTTAAGTGTTAGAATATAGTGAAATATAGATACACAGATATAGAAGTATTAGAATCCAAGTACTTTTGTGGGGCCGGGAATGAAAATTGATAAAAATGATTATTTAAGTAGGAGACTACAGCATGGCATAAGGTATAAAGAAGTTGAGTCATTGTGTTGTACACCTGAGACTGATGTAACATTGTGTGTCAACTCAAATTAAAAAAAATTTTTTTTTCAAAGGAGGTTACAAAGGTGAGTAGATTCAGACTGGAAAGTATGGGTAGACAGCATAGAATTATATAACCCATTTTTAAGTGACTAACTTGCATTTCTGTGCTTGAACTAAGGTACATCTGTAAGTCAAATGCCATATATATAAATAGAGAGATAGATAGTAAGCCATCAGAGTATTTTTTTTTTTCTCTTAGCATTTCATAGCAAGATGATTTCATTCTCAGTGGAGGGTGGGGTAGGAGTAGATCAGGAACACTTAAGTTTCAATGTAGGCTGGTAAATTTGGGGCTGGGGTGCTGGTAAGTTTTGAAATTATTTTACCTTGTAAATACCAACTTATTGAAGCTCTGTAGTTATATATTTTTAGGAATGTTAAAAATATTTGGCATGTGACAAGCAGCTTGTAATAAGTTAGCTTTTTTTCTGTGTGTGTGTATGTGTGTGTACACTTTCTCACCTTTCTTTTGCTCCTGACTTGGGCTGACAGGGAACAAATATTGGAGAAAGATTACTTTAACTCAGCTGGAATGAGATTGGCTCATTCACTATGAATGTCATGCTGACCTTTATCAGTCCAGAGTACTTCCTTCCTATTTTCAGAGACTCCATAGTGACATTGCTTCCTTCCTGCTTTTAAATCACATTCTCATAACAGCAGGGGAATAAGCACAGCATAAAAGAGTAATTAAGTATTAAGAGACCATTATTTGCCTATTCCATGGAAGAAATTTTGAGTGAATTTCATTTTTATATTAGAACAACAGGCAGAGATGGCTATGAAAGCCTTTAGGCATTT